CACCTCGACCCAAAATAAAATAACACTTAACTAGCACTTGCACTTGACCCCCCCAGCTCTGACTGACAGCTACGGTATTGAGGAAAATTTTTACTTTCTATGCCTGTGAAATATGGTTGTCCCACCTAGCTATCTTAAGATGAACGCACCAACTGTAAGTCACTCTGGATTCAACACCATAGTGCCCTCAAAGCTCTTCACTAAGCTAAGGACCCTGGGACTAAACACCTCCCTCTGCAACTGGATCCTGGACTTCCTGACGGGCCACCCCCAGGTGGTAAGGTTAGGTAACGACACATCTGCCCCGCTGATCCTCAACACGGGGGCCCCTCAGGGGTGCGTGCTCAGTCCCCTCCTGTACTCCCTGTTCACCCATGACTGCATGGCCAGGCACGACTCCAACACCATCATTAAGTTTGCCGACGAAACAACAGTGGTAGGCCTGATCACCGTCAACGATGAGACAGCCTATAAGGAGGAGGTCCGAGATCTGGCCGTGTGGTGCCAGGATAACAACCTCTCCCTCAACGTGACCAAGACAAAGGAGATGATTGTGGACTACAGGAAAAGGAGGGCAGAGCACGCCCCCATTCTCATCCACAGGGTTGTAGTGGAGCAGGTCGAGAGCTTCAGGTTCCTTGGTGTCCACATCACCAACGAACTATCATGGTCCAAACACACCAAGATAGTCGTGAAGAGGGCACGAAAAAGCCTATTCCCCCTCAGGAGACTGAAAAGATTTGGCATGGGTGCTCAGATCCTCAAAAAGTTATACATTTGCACCATCGAGAGCATCCTGACTGGTTGCATCACCGCCTGGTATGGCAACTGCTCGGCATCCGACCGCAAGGCACTACAGAGGGTAGTGCGTACAGCCCAGTACATCACTGGGGCCAAGCTTCCTGCCATCCAGGACCTCTATACCAGGCGGTGTCAGAGGAAGGCCCTAAAAATGTTCAAAGACTCCAGCCACCCTAGTCATAGACTGTTCTCTCTGCTACCGCACGGCAAGCGGTACCGGAGCGCCAAGTCCAGTTCCAAAAAGCTTCTTAACAGCTTCCACCCCCAAGCCATAAGACTCCTGAACAGCTAACCAAATGGCTACCCAGACTATTTGCATTGCAAAGTAGGCTTACCTGACAGAACTATACCGTATAATGATTATTTGTATCAATTGGGTGGTGATTATTAACTCTGTCATGACGTGCTGCAGCAGAAACATTCCTCTCTATAATAATTAAAGGGGAATTATGACTCAGAACTCATTTTATGTTTGTTTTTTCTAGTATAAAAAATTTATAAAAAATGAAAAAAAAATCCCAAACCAGGAAACATAAAACAGAGAAAACAGAATTCTGGAAAATCCCAAATATAATTTTAGAGTTGTTTATTAACCATTATTTTACCAGTTAAATTGACAGAAAACACATACAGTTGAAGTCGAAAGTTGACATATACCTTAGCCAAATACATTTTAAACTCAGTTTTTCACAATTCCTAACATTTAATCCTAGTAAGAATTCCCTGTCTTAGGTCAGTTAGGATCACCACTTTATTTTAAGAATGTGAAATGTCAGAATAATAATAGAGAGAATTATTTATTTCAGCTTTTATTTATTTCATCACATTCCCAGTGGGTCAGAAGTTTACATACACTCAATTAGTATTTGGTAGCATTGCCTTTAAATTGTTTAACTTGGGTCAAACGTTTTGGGTAGCCATCCACAACCTTCCCACAATAAGTTGGGTGAATTTTGGCCCATTCCTCCTGACAGAGCTGGTGTAACTGAATCAGGTTTGAAGGCCTCCTTGCTCGCACACACTTTTTCAGTTCTGCCCACACATTTTCTATAGGATTGAGGTCAGGGTTTTGTGATGGCCACTCCAATACCTTGACTTTGTTGTCCTTAAGCCATTTTGCCACAATTTTGGAAGTAGGCTTGGGGTCATTGTCCATTTGGAAGACCCATTTGCAACCAAGTTTAACTTCCTGACTGATGTCTTGAGATGTTGCTTCAATATATCCACATAATTTTCCTTCCTCATGATGCCATTTATTTTGTGAAGTGCACCAGTCCATCCTGCAGCAAAGCACCTCCACAGCATGATGCTGCCACCCCCATGCTTCACGGTTGGGATGGTGTTCTTCGGCTTGCAAGCGTCCCCCTTTTTCCTCCAAACATAACTATGGTCATTATGGCCAAACAGTTCTATTTTTGTATCATCAGGACATTTCTCCAAAAAGTACAATCTTTGTCCCCATGTGCAGTTGCAAACTGTAGTCTGGCTTTTTTATGGCGGTTTTAGAGCAGTGGCTTCTTCCTTGCTGAGTGGCCTTTCAGGTTATGTCGATATAGGACTCCTTTTACTGTGGATATAGATACTTTGTACCTGTTTCCTCCAGCATCTTCACAAGGTCCTTTGCTGTTGTTCTGGGATTAATATGTACTTTTCGCACCAAAGTACGTTCATCTCTAGGAGACAGAACGCGTCTCCTTCCTGAGCGGTATGACGGCTGCGTGGTCCCATGGTGTTTATACTTGCGTACTATTGTTTGTACAGATGAACGTGGTACCTTCAGGCGTTTGGAAATTGCTCCCAAGGATGAACCAGACTTGTGGAGGTCTACAATTTTTTCCCCATGATGTCAATTAAAGAGGCACTGAGTTTGAAGGTAGGCCTTGAAATACATCCACAGGTACACCTCCAATTGACTCAAGTGATGTCAATTAGCCTATCAGAAGCTTCTAAAGCCATGATATCATTTTCCAAGCTGTTTAAAGGCACAGTCAACTTAGTGTATGTAAACTTCTGACCCACTGGAATTGTGATACAGTGAATTATAAGTGAAATAATTTGTCTGTAAACAATTGTTGGAAAAATTACTTGTGTCATGCACAAAGTAGATGTCCTAACCGACTTGCCAAAACTATAGTTTGTTAACAAGAAATGTGTGGAGTGGTTGAAATACGAGTTTTAATGACTCCAACCAAAGTGTATTTAAACTTACGACTTCAACTGTATTTTGTACACCAAGGACCGGGGAAGAGTTGTAGGGGAGAGGTGAAGAATGGGCATATTTGAAAGCTATACTAAATGTGTATTTATCCTACTGGACTCTACCTACAGGTGTATTTATCCTACTGGACTCTACCTACAGGTGTATTTATCCTACTGGACTCTACCTACAGGTGTATTTATCCTACTGGACTCTACCTACAGGTGTATTTATCCTCCTGGACTCTACCTACAGGTGTATTTATCCTACTGGACTCTACCTACAGGTGTATTTATCCTACTGGACTCTACCTACAGGTGTATTTATCCTACTGGACTCTACCTACAGGTGTATTTATCCTACTGGACTCTACCTACAGGTGTATTTATCCTACTGGACTCTACCTACAGGTGTATTTATCCTACTGGACTCTACCTACAGGTGTATTTATCCTACTGGACTCTACCTACAGGTGTATTTATCCTACTGGACTCTACCTACAGGTGTATTTATCCTCCTGGACTCTACCTACAGGTGTATTTATCCTACTGGACTCTACCTACAGGTGTATTTATCCTACTGGACTCTACCTACAGGTGTATTTATCCCACTGTTCTTACCAGGGGAGAGAAGAAGAATGGGCCAATTTGAAAGCTAGACTAAATGAGTAACTGGCGACATGTTTTAAAAGCAGCTCTCATGTTAGAAAAGGTTGGAGACCCCTGGACGAGAGCTTGCACGCGCGCACACACACACACACACACACACACACACACACACACACACACACACACACACACACACACACACACACACACACACACACACACACACACACACACACACACACACACACACACACACACACACACACACACACACACACGCCCCTCACTTGACTCTACTCTGTCATTCTGAACAGAGAAAGCCATGCTGGCGTTTGGGAACAGGACAGACAAGCAGTCCTCCGCAGGAGCAGCAAACCAACCAGGCATGCCCAGCCCAGCTCTCGCTACCCTCAACAACCACATCCAGCGCCTGGCAACCACAGTCCCTGGCATCACCATGGAAACGGAACTTAATGTCCTGAGAGCACAGATACCCACTCAGGTGAATAGTGCATAGGGTGACATATTTCAAGGCCTACCATTGTTATATTATTATTATTATTATTATTATTATTACATTTGGAACACAGTCCTAATGTGTGTTTTGAACCGGCTCTAACAGCCATGGTGAGGTACCAGGAGAGAGGAGGAGGCTGTTAAACAGGTTTGATGATGAGGTACCAGGAGAGAGGAGGAGGCTGTTAAACAGGTTTGATGGTGAGGTACCAGGAGAGAGGAGGAGGCCGTTAAACAGGTTTGATGATGAGGTACCAGGAGAGAGGAGGAGGCTGTTAAACAGGTTTGATGATGAGGTACCAGGAGAGAGGAGGAGGCTGTTAAACAGGTTTGATGATGAGGTACCAGGAGAGAGGAGGAGGCCGTTAAAGAGGTTTGATGGTGAGGTACCAGGAGAGAGGAGGAGGCTGTTAAACAGGTTTGATGATGAGGTACCAGGAGAGAGGAGGAGGCTGTTAAACAGGTTTGATGGTGAGGTACCAGGAGAGAGGAGGAGGCCGTTAAACAGGTTTGATGGTGAGGTACCAGGAGAGAGGAGGAGGCTGTTAAACAGGTTTGATGATGAGGTACCAGGAGAGAGGAGGAGGCTGTTAAACAGGTTTGATGATGAGGTACCAGGAGAGAGGAGGAGGCTGTTAAACAGTTTTGGATGGGGAGGTACCAGGAGAGAGGAGGAGGCTGTTAAACAGGTTTGATGGTGAGGTACCAGGAGAGAGGAGGAGGCTGTTAAACAGGTTTGATGGTGAGGTACCAGGAGAGAGGAGGAGGCTGTTAAACAGGTTTGATGGTGAGGTACCAGGAGAGAGGAGGAGGCTGTTAAACAGGTTTGATGATGAGGTACCAGGAGAGAGGAGGAGGCCGTTAAAGAGGTTTGATGATGAGGTACCAGGAGAGAGGAGGAGGCTGTTAAACAGGTTTGATGGTGAGGTACCAGGAGAGAGGAGGAGGCTGTTAACCAGGTTTGATGGTGAGGTACCAGGAGAGAGGAGGAGGCTGTTAAACAGGTTTGATGGTGAGGTACCAGGAGAGAGGAGGAGGCTGTTAAACAGGTTTGATGATGAGGTACCAGAGAGAGGAGGAGGCTGTTAAACAGGTTTGATGGTGAGGTACCAGGAGAGAGGAGGAGGCTGTTAAAAACAGGTTTGATGGTGAGGTACCAGGAGAGAGGAGGAGGCTGTTAAACAGGTTTGATGATGAGTACCAGGAGAGAGGAGGAGGCCGTTAAAGAGGTTTGATGGTGAGGTACCAGGAGAAGAGGAGGCTGTTTAAACAGTTTGATGATGAGGTACCAGGAGAGAGGAGGAGGCTGTTAAACAGGTTTGATGGTGAGGTACCAGGAGAGAGGAGGAGGCTGTTAAACAGGTTTGATGGTGAGGTACCAGGAGAGAGGAGGAGGCTGTTAAACAGGTTTGATGGTGAGGTACCAGGAGAGAGGAGGAGGCTGTTAAACAGGTTTGATGGTGAGGTACCAGGAGAGAGGAGGAGGCTGTTAAACAGGTTTGATGATGAGGTACAGGAGAGAGGAGGGAGGCTGTTAAACAGGTTTGATGATGAGGTACCAGGAGAGAGGAGGAGGCCGTTAAAGAGGTTTGATGGTGAGGTACCAGGAGAGAGGAGGAGGCCGTTAAACAGGTTTGATGATGAGGTACCAGGAGAGAGGAGGAGGCTGTTAAACAGGTTTGATGGTGAGGTACCAGGAGAGAGGAGGAGGCTGTTAAACAGGTTTGATGATGAGGTACCAGGAGAGAGGAGGAGGCTGTTAAACAGGTTTGATGATGAGGTACCAGGAGAGAGGAGGAGGCCGTTAAAGAGGTTTGATGGTGAGGTACCAGGAGAGAGGAGGAGGATGTTAAACAGGTTTGATGGTGAGGTACCAGGAGAGAGGAGGAGGCTGTTAAACAGGTTTGATGGTGAGGTACCAGGAGAGAGGAGGAGGCTGTTAAACAGGTTTGATGATGAGGTACCAGGAGAGAGGAGGAGGCTGTTAAACAGGTTTGATGATGAGGTACCAGGCTTTCCTACAGTAACTAAGTGGGGTAACAGGAAGTCAATTATCAACACTTAATTCTCCTCTCTGCTTCTCTCTACGCTACACTGTGCTCAGCCAGTCTATCTCTGCCTAGTGATTATAGACCAGGTAATGACCAACCAATTGTAGAATAGGATAGTCTCACCAACAAATGCCAAGAACTGCAATTCTGCTGGGTTTTTCACGCTCAACAGTTTCTCTTGTGTATCAAGAATGGTCCACCACCCAAAGGACATCCAGCCAACTTGACACAACTGTGGGAAGCACTGGAGTCAACATGGGCCAACATCCCTGTGGAATGCTTTTGACACCTTGTAGAGTCCATGCCCTGATGAATGGAGGCTGTTCTGAGGGTCTGTTTCTGTAGTGAGACAGCTTGATGTACAGTACACCCCCTGGACAGGACACTAGTCTATCTCCTGTTTCTGTAGTGAGGCAGCTTGATGTACAGTACACCCCCTGGACAGGACACTAGTCTATCTCCTGTTTCTGTAGTGAGACAGCTTGATGTACAGTACACCCCCTGGACAGGACACTAGTCTATCTCCTGTTTCTGTAGTGAGACAGCTTGGTGTACCAGTACACCCCCTGGACAGGACACTAGTCTATCTCCTGTTTCTGTAGTGAGGCAGCTTGATGTACAGTACACCCCCTGGACAGGACACTAGTCTATCTCCTGTTTCTGTAGTGAGACAGCTTGATGTACAGTACACCTCCTGGACAGGACACTAGTCTATCTCCTGTTTCTGTAGTGAGGTAGCTTGATGTACCAGTACACCCCCTGGACAGGACACTAGTCTATCTCCTGTTTCTGTAGTGAGGCAGCTTGATGTACAGTACACCCCCTGGACAGGACACTAGTCTATCTCCTGTTTCTGTAGTGAGACAGCTTGGTGTACCAGTACACCCCCTGGACAGGACACTAGTCTATCTCCTGTTTCTGTAGTGAGGCAGCTTGATGTACCAGTACACCCCCTGGACAGGACACTAGTCTATCTCCTGTTTCTGTAGTGAGACAGCTTGATGTACAGGACACCCCCTGGACAGGACACTAGTCTATCTCCTGTTTCTGTAGTGAGACAGCTTGATGTACAGTACACCCCCTGGACAGGACACTAGTCTATCTCCTGTTTCTGTAGTGAGACAGCTTGGTGTACCAGTACACCCCCTGGACAGGACACTAGTCTATCTCCTGTTTCTGTAGTGAGGCAGCTTGATGTACAGTACACCCCCTGGACAGGACACTAGTCTATCTCCTGTTTCTGTAGTGAGACAGCTTGATGTACAGTACACCCCCTGGACAGGACACTAGTCTATCTCCTGTTTCTGTAGTGAGGTAGCTTGATGTACCAGTACACCCCCTGGACAGGACACTAGTCTATCTCCTGTTTCTGTAGTGAGGCAGCTTGATGTACAGTACACCCCCTGGACAGGACACTAGTCTATCTCCTGTTTCTGTAGTGAGACAGCTTGATGTACAGTACACCCCCTGGACAGGACACTAGTCTATCTCCTGTTTCTGTAGTGAGACAGCTTGATGTACAGTACACCCCCTGGACAGGACACTAGTCTATCTCCTGTTTCTGTAGTGAGACAGCTTGATGTACCAGTACACCCCCTGGACAGGACACTAGTCTATCTCCTGTTTCTGTAGTGAGACAGCTTGATGTACCAGTACACCCCCTGGACAGGACACTAGTCTATCTCCTGTTTCTGTAGTGAGACAGCTTGATGAACAGTACACCCCCTGGACAGGACACTAGTCTATCTCCTGTTTCTGTAGTGAGACAGCTTGATGTACCAGTACACCCCCTGGACAGGACACTAGTCTATCTCCTGTTTCTGTAGTGAGACAGCTTGATGTACAGTACACCCCCTGGACAGGACACTAGTCTATCTCCTGTTTCTGTAGTGAGACAGCTTGATGTACAGTACACCCCCTGGACAGGACACTAGTCTATCTCCTGTTTCTGTAGTGAGACAGCTTGATGTACCAGTACACCCCCTGGACAGGACACTAGTCTATCTCCTGTTTCTGTAGTGAGACAGCTTGATGTACCAGTACACCCCCTGGACAGGACACTAGTCTATCTCCTGTTTCTGTAGTGAGACAGCTTGATGACAGTACACCCCCTGGACAGGACACTAGTCTATCTCCTGTTTCTGTAGTGAGACAGCTTGATGTACCAGTACACCCCCTGGACAGGACACTAGTCTATCTCCTGTTTCTGTAGTGAGACAGCTTGATGTACAGTACACCCCCTGGACAGGACACTAGTCTATCTCCTGTTTCTGTAGTGAGACAGCTTGATGTACAGTACACCCCCTGGACAGGACACTAGTCTATCTCCTGTTTCTGTAGTGAGACAGCTTGGATGTACCAGTACACCCCCTGGACAGGACACTAGTCTATCTCCTGTTTCTGTAGTGAGACAGCTTGATGTACCAGTACACCCCCTGGACAGGACACTAGTCTATCTCCTGTTTCTGTAGTGAGACAGCTTGATGTACAGTACACCCCCTGGACAGGACACTAGTCTATCTCCTGTTTCTGTAGTGAGACAGCTTGATGTACAGTACACCCCCTGGACAGGACACTAGTCTATCTCCTGTTTCTGTAGTGAGACAGCTTGATGTACAGGACACCCCCTGGACAGGACACTAGTCTATCTCCTGTTTCTGTAGTGAGACAGCTTGATGTACCAGTACACCCCCTGGACAGGACACTAGTCTATCTCCTGTTTCTGTAGTGAGACAGCTTGATGTACCAGTACACCCCCTGGACAGGACACTAGTCTATCTCCTGTTTCTGTAGTGAGACAGCTTGATGTACAGTACACCCCCTGGACAGGACACTAGTCTATCTCCTGTTTCTGTAGTGAGACAGCTTGGATGTACCAGTACACCCCCTGGACAGGACACTAGTCTATCTCCTGTTTCTGTAGTGAGACAGCTTGATGTACCAGTACACCCCCTGGACAGGACACTAGTCTATCTCCTGTTTCTGTAGTGAGACAGCTTGATGTACAGTACACCCCCCTGGACAGGACACTAGTCTATCTCCTGTTTCTGTAGTGAGACAGCTTGATGTACCAGTACACCCCCTGGACAGGACACTAGTCTATCTCCTGGTTCTGTAGTGAGACAGCTTGATGTACAGGACACCCCCTGGACAGGACACTAGTCTATCTCCTGTTTCTGTAGTGAGACAGCTTGATGTACCAGTACACCCCCTGGACAGGACACTAGTCTATCTCCTGTTTCTGTAGTGAGACAGCTTGATGTACCAGTACACCCCCTGGACAGGACACTAGTCTATCTCCTGTTTCTGTAGTGAGACAGCTTGATGAACAGTACACCCCCTGGACAGGACACTAGTCTATCTCCTGTTTCTGTAGTGAGACAGCTTGATGTACCAGTACACCCCCTGGACAGGACACTAGTCTATCTCCTGTTTCTGTAGTGAGACAGCTTGATGTACAGTACACCCCCTGGACAGGACACTAGTCTATCTCCTGTTTCTGTAGTGAGACAGCTTGATGTACAGTACACCCCCTGGACAGGACACTAGTCTATCTCCTGGTTCTGTAGTGAGACAGCTTGATGTACAGGACACCCCCTGGACAGGACACTAGTCTATCTCCTGTTTCTGTAGTGAGACAGCTTGATGTACAGTACACCCCCTGGACAGGACACTAGTCTATCTCCTGTTTCTGTAGTGAGACAGCTTGATGTACAGGACACCCCCTGGACAGGACACTAGTCTATCTCCTGTTTCTGTAGTGAGACAGCTTGATGTACAGTACACCCCCTGGACAGGACACTAGTCTATCTCCTGTTTCTGTAGTGAGGCAGCTTGATGTACAGTACACCCCCTGAACAGGACACTAGTCTATCTCCTGTTTCTGTAGTGAGACAGCTTGATGTACCAGTACACCCCCTGGACAGGACACTAGTCTATCTCCTGTTTCTGTAGTGAGACAGCTTGATGACAGTACACCCCCTGGACAGGACACTAGTCTATCTCCTGTTTCTGTAGTGAGACAGCTTGATGTACAGTACACCCCCTGGACAGGACACTAGTCTATCTCCTGTTTCTGTAGTGAGACAGCTTGATGTACAGTACACCCCCTGGACAGGACACTAGTCTATCTCCTGTTTCTGTAGTGAGACAGCTTGATGAACAGTACACCCCCTGGACAGGACACTAGTCTATCTCCTGTTTCTGTAGTGAGACAGCTTGATGAACAGTACACTCTCAGGCCATCTTTATTTTGTACTGTAATTGCATTACGTGCAGGAGACAGCCTGTGATGTCAGGACAAATTGCGGAGTAGTGCTGTCTTTTTGATCAAACAATTCCCTTCTCCCCAGGTGCATGAAATACATTTTAAACTGCTATTTCCTAACAGTGTTTGTGTCTCCCCATGCAGGTGAATGAGAACGATAGACTGTGGGGTGGTGATGGGGAAGACTGGACCCTGCCGTCCCCAGGGCTGGTGGACCATGGAGCCCCTCCCCTCCACCTGTCTGCCCTGGGATGGTCCCTTCCACTGGGCCTCTCCCTTCTGCTGGCTAGCCCCAACCCTGGGGCTCCATAGACTACACTACAGACCGACTGACTTGGGAGTGGAGAGAGAGAGAAACAGGGACAGATAAAGAGAAAGAGAGAGAGAGAGAAAGAGAGAGAGAGAAAGGGAGAGATGTATGTACAGTGCCTTCTGAAAGTATTCATACCCCTAGACATATTCCACACTTTGTGTTACAGCCTGAATTCAAAAGAAATCTCACCCATCTAGACACAATACCCCATAATGACAAAGTGAACCCATGTAAGTATTCACACCCTTGGCTCAAGGCTTTCTGGAAGCCCCTTCTTGGCGGCCATTACAGCTTTGAGTCGTCTTGGGTTTGTCTGTATCAGCTTTGCACGTCTGGATTTTGGGATTTTCTCCCATTTTTCCCTGCAGATTTTCTCAAGCTCTGTTAAATTAGATGGGGAGCGGCGGTGAGCAGCAATCTTCAAGTCTTTCCACAGATTTTCAATGGGATTCAAGTCTGCGCTTTGGCTGGGCCACTCAAGGACTTTCAGATTCTTGTTCTGAAGCCATTCCAGCGTTGCTTGGGGTCATTGTTCTGTTGGAACCTAAATCTTCGCCCCAGTCTAAGGTCGTTTGCACTCTGAAGCAGGACTTGCCTGTATTTGGCTCCATTTATTGTTCCCTCTATCCTTACCAGTCTCCCAGTCCCTGCTGCTGAAAAGCACCCCCATAGCATGATGCTGCCACCACCATGCTTCACGGTAGGGATGGTGTTAGACGGGTGATGAGCTGTGCCTGGTTTTCTCCAGACATAGCGCTTTGCATTCAGGCCAAAGAGGAAATGTTTTATCTCATCAGATCACACAATGTTTCGCCTTATGCTCTCAGTCTTTCACGTGCCTTTTTGCAAACTCCAGACGTGCTGTCATGTGCCTTTTTCACAGGAGTGGTTTCCGTCTGGCCACTCACCCATAAAGCTCAGATTGGTGAAGTGCTGTAGAGACGGTTGTCCTTCTGGCAGGTTCTCCCACCTCAGCCAAGGAACTCTGTAGTTCTGTCAGAGTGGTCATTGGGTTCTTGGTCACCTCCCTGACCAAGGTCCTTCTTGCCCGGTTGCTCAGTTTGGTCGGACGGCCAGCCCTAGACAGAGTCTGGGTAGTTCCATATGTTTCCATTTCCCCAATAATGGAGACCACTGTGCTCTTGGAAACGTTCATTATTCTAGAAATTGTATACCTTTCCCCACATATATGCCTCATCACATCATGATATTTGTACGTCTAACTTTCTCACTCATCATTATTCACGACTATCCGTAATCATGGTAGCATCCACATGAATGCAGAAGGGTTTAGAAACATACACTGCGTATACCAAACATTATGAACACCTTCCTAATATTGAGTTGCCCCCCCCCCCTTTACCTTCCTAATATTGAGTTGCCCCCCCCCCCTTTACCTTCCTAATATCGAGTTGTACCCCCTTTTGCCCTCAGAACAGCCTCCATTCATCGGGGCATGGACTCTACAAGGTGTCGAAAGCGTTCCACAAGGATGCTGACCCATGTTGACTCCAATGCTTCCCACAGTTGTGTCAAGTTAGCTGGATGTCCTTTCGGTGGTGGACCATGCTTGATACACACGGGAACCTGTTGAGCGTGAAAAATCCAGCAGCATGGAGTTCTTGACACAAACCGGTGCGCCTGGCACCTACTACCATACCCCGTTCAAAGGCACTTAAATATTTTGTCTTGCCCATTCACCCTCTGAATGGCACACATACACAATCCATGTCTCAATTGTCTCAAGGCTTAAAAATCCTTCTTTAACCTGTCTCCTCCCCTTCATCTACACTGATTGAAGTGGATTTAACAAGTGACATTAATAAGGGATCATATCTTTCACCTGGATTCACCTGGTCAGTCTGTCATGGAAAGAGCAGGTGTTCCTAATGTTTTGTAAACTCAATGTATTCTATTCTTATTTAAAATAAAAGTGACTCAAAATGTGACACAATACATTATTTACCATTCATTTCTATTGGTCACAAAATAATCTGAAACACAACCAAAACAAACAGCAAATGCATCGAACAAGTTTGTAGAGTCACAACCTTGATGTAATCATTGTGTGCTACGAATATGGGACCAAATACTAAACATTTGACTACTTTAATACACATATACTGTAAGTGAATTTGTCCCAATACCTTTGGTCCCCTAAAATGGGGGGACTAGGTACAAAAAGTGACGATTCACCCAATATGGATGAAAATTACCCTCAAATTAAAGCTGGCAGTCTGCACTTTAACCTCATAGTCATGTATCATTTCAAATCCAAATTGCTGGAGTACAGAGCCAGAACAACAACAAGACATGGTCCCAATACTTCTGGAGTACAGAGCCAGAACAACATCAAGACATGGTCCCAATACTTCTGGAGTACAGAGCCAGAACAACAACAAGACACGGTCCCAATACTTCTGGAGTACAGAGCCAGAACAACAACAAGACACGGTCCCAATACTTCTGGAGTACAGAGCCAGAACAACAACAAGACACGGTCCCAATACTTCTGGAGTACAAAACCAGAACAACAACAAGACACGGTCCCAATACTTCTGGAGTACAGAGCCAGAACAACAACAAGACATGGTCCCAATACTTCTGGAGTACAGAGCCAGAACAACAACAAGACATGGTCCCAATACTTCTGGAGTACAGAGCCAGAACAACAACAAGACATAGTCACTGTCCCAATACTTCTGGAGTACAGAGCCAGAACAACAACAAGACATGGTCCCAATACTTCTGGAGTACAGAGCCAGAACAACAACAAGACATGGTCCCAATACTTCTGGAGTACAGAGCCAGAACCAACAACAAGACATGGTCCCAATACTTCTGGAGTACAGAGCCAGAACACAACAAGACATAGTCACTGTCCCCAATACTTCTGGAGTACAGAGCCAGAACAACAACAAGACATGGTCCCAATACTTCTGGAGTACAGAGCCAGAACAACAACAAGACATGGTCCGCAATACTGTCTGGAGTACAGAGCCAGAAACAACAACAAGACACGGTCCCAATACTTCTTGGTAGTAACAGAACCAGAACAACATCAAGAAATGGTCCCAAATATTCTGGAGTACAGAACCAGAACAACCACAAGAACCATGGTCCACTGTCCCAATACTTCTGGAGTAACAGAAGCCAGAACAACAACAAGACAAACGGTCCCCAATACTTCTGGAGGTACAGAGCCAGAACCAACAACAGACATGGCCCCAATACTTCTGGAGTACAGAGCCAGAACAACAACAAGAAATGGGTCCCAATACTTCCTGGAGTACAGAGCCAGAACAACAACAAGACAATAGTCACTGTTCCCCAATACTTCTGGAGTACAGAGCCAGAACAACAACCAAGGGACATGGTCCCCAATACTTCCTGGAGTACAGTAGCCAGAACAACAACAAGAATGTCCCAATACTTCGGGAGTACAGAGCCAGAACAACAACAAGACATGGTCCCAATACTTCTGGAGTACAGAGCCAGAACAACAACAAGACATAGTCACTGTCCCAATACTTCTGGAGTACAGAGCCAGAACAACAACAAGACATGGTCCCAATACTTCTGGAGTACAGAGCCAGAACAACAACAAGACATGGTCCCAATACTTCTGGAGTACAGAGCCAGAACAACAACAAGACACGGTCCCAATACTTCTGGAGTACAGAACCAGAACAACATCAAGACATGGTCCCAATACTTCTGGAGTACAGAACCAGAACAACAACAAGACATGGTCACTGTCCCAATACTTCTGGAGTACAGAGCCAGAACAACAACAAGACACGGTCCCAATACTTCTGGAGTACAGAGCCAGAACAACAACAAGACACGGTCCCAATACTTCTGGAGTACAGAACCAGAACAACATCAAGACATGGTCCCAATACTTCTGGAGTACAGAGCCAGAACAACAACAAGACATAGTCACTGTCCCAATACTTCTGGAGTACAGAGCCAGAACAACAACAAGACATGGTCCCAATACTTCTGGAGTACAGAGCCAGAACAACAACAAGACACGGTCCCAATACTTCTGGAGTACAGAGCCAGAAAAACAACAAGACACGGTCCCAATACTTCTGGAGTACAGAGCCAGAACAACATCAAGACACGGTCCCAATACTTCTGGAGTACAGAGCCAGAACAACAACAAGACACGGTCCCAATACTTCTGGAGTACAGAGCCAGAACAACAACAAGACACGGTCCCAATGCTTCTGGAGTACAGAACCAGAACAACATCAAGACATGGTCCCAATACTTCTGGAGTACAGAGCCAGAACAACAACAAGACACGGTCCCAATACTTCTGGAGTATAGAGCCAGAACAACAACAAGACACGGTCCCAATACTTCTGGAGTACAGAGCCAGAACAACAACAAGACACGGTCCCAATACTTCTGGAGTACAGAGCCAGAACAACATCAAGACATGGTCCCAATACTTCTGGAGTACAGAGCCAGAACAACAACAAGACATAGTCACTGTCCCAATACTTCTGGAGTACAGAGCCAGAACAACAACAAGACATAGTCACTGTCCCAATACTTCTGGAGTACAGAGCCAGAACAACAACAAGACACGGTCCCAATACTTCTGGAGTACAGAGCCAGAACAACAACAAGACACAGTCCCAATACTTCTGGAGTACAGAGCCAGAACAACATCAAGACACGGTCCCAATACTTCTGGAGTACAGAGCCAGAACAACAACAAGACACGGTCCCAATACTTCTGGAGTACAGAGCCAGAACAACAACAAGACACGGTCCCAATACTTCTGGAGTACAGAACCAGAACAACATCAAGACATGGTCCCAATACTTCTGGAGTACAGAGCCAGAACAACAACAAGACACGGTCCCAATACTTCTGGAGTACAGAGCCAGAACAACAACAAGACACGGTCCCAATACTTCT